GATTACATTAGAGAGTCTGCTTTGTTATTCAGTTTGATTTTCCCAACGAAGCAAATATCAACACATTTGTTTTGTATGTTATTGTTCTAATAAATCAAACACTATGACAAGTCTTCTGGCTTCTTCTATTCATTATGTTATCCTGAAATCCACAATCAAAAAAAACTCTGAAAACACCACCTCTCTGGATGACAGAACATAACATCATGGAGATAGATTGTCAGTTCACTGCTGTGAGAGTTAAGAAAGACTTCCAGTTACAAGGCTGGGAGTATAATGTGATGATTTATCATGACAATATTTTTCTTGTAATGCATCCCAATATTGAAATCCATGGTTACCAGAGATAAAGAGGTTCACCCTCTTTTAATTCAGAAATATGCCAAAACAATGTCATCCACTTCTATATGCACCTCATCTTATTAAAGCCATTTAAAAGGAACTGTTGTCCCAGAGCCCAGTGGCTGCTTTCTATAGCCAGATGTTTTGTTCTGTGGTGTTATTGTATCACCACAGAGGTCACTGCTATTGCATCACTGCAGAGATCACTACCACAGAGTCTTCATAGCAGAGACAAGATTCCATTACTAACCCCAGTGGTCAGTTTGAGTGCTAAGTGTCTGTAGGTTTGCATACTTGAATGAAGGTCCTGCTGGCTCTGATACCTACAGGTGCAAGAAAAGATACTTAAACTCACAACTATCACTGAAAGATTGAAAGACAGTGAAGACAGCCAGCTGAAGAAAATAAGGAACCACTTGTTCTCCAAATATTTTCTAGCATAAAACCACTGTGTAGAGTCTGATTGTTGTTCAGCAGGGGTGGGAACAAGAGAAAGTTACCAATTAAAGATTTATATGTTCTTCCCACCTCTATGAATGTGGTTTAAGCACTAGTTAGAAATTCATTATCTCCTTCTGCTCAAATGTAAGGAGTGTTATTTCCTCTTAAAATCCAGAACCCTTCCATTATAGACTTCTGCACACAGAGCAGAATGAAAAATTTCAAGGATTAATGAAGTCTCATGGGGCCCTGGCCAGAGAATAATAGATACAGGATTTATCAACAGGTAAGGGCAAAGAGTTAAGATTAATTTCAGGTGTATGATTCATGTCCTGCCATGATGTGTCAATAAAATCACTTAGTGCCTCAGTTACCTGTGTGTTAGAACAAAGTGACAGCATCTTTCCACTCAACAGGGAAGAGAGGAACTGCTCCTGTCTCCCCCAGAGCTCTCACCTAGGCTTGCTCAGTGGTGGAACATTGCAGCTCTTGGTGGGGTGGGACAAGTAGCATGAATGGGATTTACCTGAGAAGCAGAAGGGAGATGCAGCGGCAGTATCTACCTGCCACTGGCTTTCCTTTGCTCCATCCTTACTGCCACATGCCCAGGGAATCACTTTTTCCCTACACGTGCCCCACTGCAGCATTGCCAGCAGCCAAGGGGGAGGCTGCTGCAATACATGATTTATGGTGAATTTGCACTTACTGTTGCATGGCATTGAAACACACCGACTCCACAGCATTTTGTGAGGAGATTGCTGGGTGATGAATAGGCTGAGAAAGGCCAGGCAAACAGTATTACTGTAACACTACATAAATATGGTTTTTTTTCCTTTTACGCTAAAACACCTGATTTCCTTTAGCATTGTAAACACGTTACTTTATTAGGTCTGGGAGAGCTGATGAATTTAAAGTAATTTTTTGGCAAACAAGTGGCAGTGTCTCAGCTTTTTAGATGGAGGTGAAGGAAAGAAATGTTTATCATGAAAACATACAAAGCAACAAAAGGGACAGGAGAAAGCTGTTGTCTGCACTGAAGTTTCTTATAGACAAGAGCCACCCAGGTGGTATTAGTGGAAAACTGTTAGAAAACAGGAAAGACAGGACATAATCTCCTTGGAACAGTTGGCACAGGTTCAGTGTTCTGTAGATAATAAATTTAGCTTTCAGAAGGAAGTTCAAATACTCTGCATTTACTAGTTTTTAAGAATGAAAATGAACACACTAATTATGTACAATGTTACCATCTGCTAAATGAGGCAATTTTGACTAAGACTTGGCAATTTCTTTGCAGACACAAAGTTTGACCCAAGGCTTTTCAACCATAAAATTACTACCCTGCGAAAGGACAGATAAATGTCTAAGCAAGTGCCTCATTACTGTCAGAGCAATGATTTATTGTTTCATTTTACTGTTGTGTTTTCCTGGTTATTAGAGTGAAGGCTGAGTCAGCCTTTCATTATAAGTAAACTTACTTTGAGGAACTGCAGTTTAACCAGAGAAGAAAACTCACTTGTAAGCATTTAGGTAAAGAGGAAAAATAAAAACACTGGCAAGTGCTTGGATACCTTTTGGGGTGAGCAGTTCTTGATCTCTTGAGGCCCCAAATTAGCTGTTTCTTTTCCTCTGTGAATAGATGCCTTCCAGCTAGGATACCTGCTCCACCAAGAACCAACATAATTTAAGGAGAATATAAAAGCAACTCAGAATCAGCAAAACACTGGGAGCTGCACCCCTTGCTCCCTGGGGGCTAGACCCAGACGTGATGCTGCCTGGGTCATTGCCTCTCCCCAGTGGAATGGTGGCAGGCAAGGTGAGGGGCCAGGTGAATGGAGTGACTGCCTCCCTTGAGAAGGCACCTGTGCAGAATTGCCTGTTTCCCCTTTCAACTGGTTATAGGGGTCAGGTGGTTACAGTGCATCTGTTTTGGCCAACAGGCAGTTCCATGTTGAACATTACTGTATTCTTCATCAAGACTATTCAGAGCTTGTAATAAACTCATTTTAGCTGCCAGTGAGTAACTGGAGAGGTTGGGCTTTGCTAACTACCCTACCTCCTTCAGCTGCCATGCGTCAATGGTCTGTGGTGATTATTGAGAATCAAAGTGCATTTCATAAATCAATGTGCACATGCCATTTGACTGGAACAGCCCTCCACACTTGGCTCCATTTCTCTCCCTCTCCCATTTTTTCCTCCTCTTTGTTTTGTTTTGCTTTTAAACATGAGTGATCATGAGGCACAGCACTCATTAAGGGTTTCTGGTTTGCATGAACTGCAGAGGTATAACACATGATCCAGTCATGGCTTGTACCATAAAACCAATTCAAACCAAAAGCTTTCCATGTGAGAAAGATAGCATTTGAGGCTAACACACCCTTATAAAAGTAACACTTTTACAAGTGTGTGCTGCATGTGAGGCTGCTCATAGGGTATGCTGGTGACATACAGGCAGAAGCCACCCCTGGCACCAGACATGCCCATCCCTGAGCAGTCCCTGAGAGAGCTGCTGGGTGGGAGTCTGGCTGCCAGCTAAGGTTACCCCAACACCACCCAAAAAAAACCCTGCAAAGAAGTCCTACTGTTAAGTGTCCTACTGCTAAGAGTTTGCTCCACTATCCAGAAGGCTCACAGTACTAGACATGATCTACTAATGCTTTTTTTTCCTTTTCTTCACTTATCTTCTCTCCCCCCCCCCGCCCCCCGCCAGTTTTGGAAACTCTTTACAAAGTAAATTGGAAATTACTCTTCACAGTTGGACCAAATTAGAACTGTTTTGAGTCAGAAAACTAAAAATCAAGAGCCTGATCCAGAGAAGTTGAAAGCAAAGAACAGGAGCTTGATACGTCAGCTGAGAGCCACAGTCACCAGACTCCTGCAGTGGCTCAGACTGCTTTTCTGGCTGATGTGGTGGGTCCTTGATTCACTTTTTCTCTAAATAGGACTAGAAATGTTCCATTCACTGACATTGGTGTGTGCACTCCCAAAGCACATTTTGGTTTCAATGAGTCAACAATTTCTAATATTTTCCAAATAGCTCCAGTTGTTGGTTTCTTTTTTTTTTTTTTCCATTTAGAAAAGGTGTGTGCTTCCTGGTGAAGGGCAGAGTAGATTGTATAGTAGTGTAGGAAACATGAATCACTTTCCATTTGCCTCTCTGCTGCACTCCATTTTCCCAAACACGATGAGCAAGGCAGAAAAATGGAATCTAATTAAGCTTCATTCTAGCCTTACTCCTTCATATAATTCATATAAATCCTGTCCTTCAGACTTCTCTGCTCCCTTGCTTCAAGTTTACTGAAGTGAGTATGTGAATTTCTAATAGCCCATGTTTAGATGGGTGTCTGATCCCTAAGTTATCCACAGCATTTGAGAAATTGTTTTTTTGGTTTTTTTTGGTTTTTTTTTGTGTACCAAAGGAGTTTCTTTGCTTGTCCACTTAAAAAATTGATTTCTGAAACTTTATGGTGTTTTATTCTTTTTTATTTTTACTTCCCAGCTAGAAAAAAAAATTCTTTATTTTTTTATTAGTTATTTCAAGTTAGATACTCAGTCCTTTGAAAATTAGACCTTGAAATTTGTAGAGGAACTAACATGGGAAAACAAACTCATGATGTTTTGACTTTCTCAGAATTCCTTCTACTGCCTGGGCTTTTGGAAAATCAAAAAAGTTCTCCAAAACTTATAAACATTTCCAAAATGTTTCAGAATCCATTATTTGTTTGAAAAAAAAAAAGGAGAATTAATCAGAAAACTCAACCCTAAATTGCACTTTGCATTTTTATGAAGGAGTTTTATAGGTAATAGATAATGACGAAGTAACATTTTTGCACACAAATGAGGAAGAGTCCGCCCCTAAATGTTCTCAGTATGATATTTTTTGCTTTAGTTCATCACTGTGAACATCATGTGCAAGGTACAATGATAGCCATTTAGAGCACTAACTTTCTCAGCAACGAGAAATGAAGGTAATGTGCTATCACCCAATTTCTAACTACCTTTTATCTCACTCTTCTGAAATGTTACTTAATGGTTCTTCTCTGGAGTCACATGCAGACCCATTTGGGAGACACACTGTAAAACTGTTTACTATAGGTTTGTCTGCTCAGTAGATGAGATTTCTTTGTATTTTGTCCGCTTGATTTTGACAATCTTCCTTTTTGCTCCTAAAACTGAGAAGGCAGCAGATGTACATACAGACCAGCTGTGTTTGTAAGAGACATGCTTTAATCTAACCCCTTGCAAAGAAGTCCACTACTTACAAGCTGCTCCTTGTGGTTGAAGGCTCTGCCACTTGCCATACAGTTCCCAAGATCATAATGTCACATCTAAGTGTGCTGACGATTATGTGATCCCAATTTGGCCTCTGCCAGCAGACTGTGGAGGGACTGCCTCAAAATGAAATTCATTATTTCACTAAAAAAAATAAAAGTACTTCTCTCAAAAACATTTACAGTTTCATAAGGGTGATCTTCAACTGGACAGGATACTTGCTCCTCAGTAGCCCAGTCTGTCTCCTGAACAGCACATTAGTGAGTGAACTGGCATGGGTATTTAAATGCATACACTGTGTGTCTACATCATCAAATTGGTTTTTTTTATGTATTTTGTCTCAAGGACACAGCAAAGAGCTGCTAATTGTCTCTCAGGCTGCATCTGGAGCAAGGCACAGTCCATAGGTGAGCCATTGTCTACCAGACCCATATATGAGTTCAGGGCTTCTCCAGGCATGAGCAACAAGGGCAGCGTGGATGTCAGAGTACCAGCTCACACTCGGCTCCTGTAAGAGACACTGCATCTTTCAACCACAAACCAAACAACTTACAACATTGTATAGTGCAGAAAATGACACTTCCAAGTGTATTTATTGAGAAATAGTAAAGATGTACATAATTTTACAAGCTTTTAATTTTAATTTACATTTTTCTTAAATTAGGTTGACCCTAATAAACTATGATCTGCTAATACATGACAGAGATCCTTGGTTTAAAATCTCCAAAATGCTGCTATTTCTGGGATTTTGGCTAATGTCACTTCAGCTCCTCTCTAGAGATACTAAATACCACATTCATTTACAGCATAGGCCTGGTGTCAATCCTATAAAGCAGAGATGACTTTTGAATGGAAACCCTGGATCTGGATACAACTTCACAACTAAAACCTGGTCTTCCTATCACGGGTCAAGCCTATATTCTCCATAAACTCTGCAGTTCTGATGGGATGTAAGGTTTCATCTTCCCCAAGATGAAGAGTGCTTGTTTAGAGGACTTAGATTTGGCCTCATCCCCCTTGTCAATGCTTACACACGAATATACTCTGCATCTGCTTCAGATGCAAACACTGCTCACACTGGATTAAGATGGAATAGATCTGGGAGCTAGCTGCTACCTATATCTTTGTGCACAGATAGGTATTTTCTATCTGTGCACAGTCTTCACAGGCATATAAAAATAAGCATAATTTTTAGGTTTTTCTGCCCTCTTTTACTGAACTGCACAGAGTTATGTCTAAGATATTGTCCTGTGACTGTAATCACAGAGTATTTGTATTTTGCAAGCTGACCACTCAAATGTCTAATGAATGTTCAGGTTCTGTACTGAGAACTGCTTTTGCTTTTTCAGCAAAAGGCATTTTATTCTATATTTCATTTGCACAAAATACTTGCAAATGTGACCTTGTGCTCAATTTTGTTGTTGAGGAGAGGCTGAAGGGAAGGTAGTATCTGATTAATATGCTTCTGAATTAAAATGCACTCAATGTCAAAGTGACCAGCCTTCAGTTTAATCTTCTTAGGCCCATCTGGAACAGTCTGGTGTGACTGTCTCTGCCTTGGTTATTTTCTCCTCTGTATTGTTCATGCAGGAAAATATATCAGACTAATTTCTCTCTACAAGGCAGGCATGTACTACACAAGTTTATTTAAAGATATATAGCAATTTTTGCTTAGCAGGAGAGTATTCATTCTCTGAAATTTCATTTTAGAGTTTTAGTATTGCAAAGCCTTTTGAGCTATACCCTTGAATTTTCATTGGATACATGTTTGTGTGGATTATTTGTTTTAACAATTAACTTCTGCTATGGTGGCACAAAGAACCTTGTCATGCTCTGTAAAACTTCCCTCCTTTTGCTTCCATCTTCTCTCCAGAAGTCCATTTATTAATTGAGCCATATCTGCCACAGAAAGCTAAGCACAACTCCAATGAAGGCACTGCAAACCTTTAATAAGAACCAATAGCTGTTGCTGGGCTAATTTTGTTCTTTCATTTGGTTAGGAAAAGAACACTGAAAAGCTGAACAAATAACTTGAGAAATAATATTACTTCATGCATTTAAATAACAATATGACATGTCAAAAAAAAAAAAAAAAAAAAAAAAAAAAAAANGAACAAATAACTTGAGAAATAATATTACTTCATGCATTTAAAAAAAAAAAAGACAAAAAAAAAAAAAAAAAAAAAAAAAAAAAAAAAAAAAAAAAAAAAAAAAAAAAGAAAGAAGAGAAAAAAGCTAGTTAACCAAACAATTTTTTTGTTTTATCACATCTTTTACACTGAGATTTTTATGTAATGCTGGAACTTGAGAAGGGCTTCAAAGTTCTTTCTCATTCCAGTAGAAGCACTTTTTTCCCATCTGAAAAACTAAAAAAGCTGTACTACAGATTTTTATTACTTGTATTTCCAGGTACTGAAAATATAAAGAAGGTATATATAATTATTTTTGTTTTGGACACACAGATCTATTACCCAAATATCTACATAGTCTACAGTGATTTAATATGTGGCGAGTCTCATGTGATGGTTTTACACTGCCCAGGGATAAAAAGTTGTTGTTAGTTTGTTGTGTGGTGACTTGTACATCTAATTCCAACACAGCAAAGAAATTTATTTTTATGAATTTATAGAGAAGTTCACCTTGGACTTGTAGGTTTCCAGGCTTTCACCGACCAAGAAACTTTATTAAAACCTCAACCAAATTTAAATGAACAAAGTTACTACCTGGTAACTATGGCATATGATGACTTCAGAGCACAAAGAGAGATTTTCACCTCAGTGCTGACTACCGTGCTCGTGCAGTCATCCTGGAGTCTGCCTTTGATATCTTCTCTTGCAAATACCTCTTCACACAGTCAATGCACATGCAGCCTCAGGTGTCTCCACATACAGTGTTAAAAATTGAAAAAGTTAAAAATTGAAAAAGTAGTTTCTACCTTCTGCCATGAGAGATGAGCCACTTGCTGTTATTACAGAGTGCTCAAGCTGCACATAGAACATTAAGGGCCCTGTGTGCTATATGGATCTTGCTCATTTTCCATAGCTGAAAGGTAGTATGTTCAAAATTTGCAAGGTAATTGTTGCTGTATGGTTCGTAATTTTTAATAGAAAAGATGGAAGTTAAGGTGATATATTTCTCAGTGTTTCTCCATGAAAATCACTTCTTATCCTCTCCTCAGATACCTGACATGCTATTGAAATTTCTGATCAGAAACACTTAGGGTCGCCTGCAGTCGTCCCTGTGTAATTTTGTTGAGCAATCAAAAAATGGATGAGGAAAATCATGCTGACCCAAATACACAAAAATGTGGAACAGAATGGAAAAGCTACCAAAATGCTGTTTTCTTTACCAAAGTGGATTATCTCCTGAAATGGCCAATGTCATCAAGCCAGCAATTTCAGTAGCTTGTGTTGATCCTGAATATGCTAAATGTAGCATAATTTCCACATCTGACAGATGAGAACTTCTTTAGTAATTTTTCATTCCTAAAGAACTTGTGTTTTATTCTCCATCTGGGATTAACTCCACATTTTCACCTTCTAGTAATGCCACCTGAACACTTTCCCTGTTGGGTGGGACTTTGTTGTGTTATACACAGCAGATGCACTCATGGTATGTCTTTCAGTGGACTTGGTAATTAATGAATATGGCTCTTAGTTCTCTTGCTGGAGAATCAAGAAATGATGCCAAAGGTGTTAAACACTATTTCTTCTTTTACCTTTCTAGGTAGAGGTCCCCAGTATCAACGTCCCAATATTTTATTAACTTTTCTCAAAAAATCAGTGGAATTATTCAGAATCCAAATAAAAACACAAACTTGCCTTTATTATTTTTTCTTACTGCAACAAATACTTAAAATTCTTTGGTGCAGCCCTGCTCTTTGATTTCTTTGAATTTCAAATTTGGTCATGTCAAAAATTATCACAAAGGTTTTTTTGTTTATCTACAGAGTTTTTAACCAAAATTACATTATAACACACAAACACAGTCTTCTCTTTAAGGCACAACACATCATATGCACATTCTGTTTGCCAAACTTATAAAAGAGACAATATTATATAACCCTTTCCCTCCCCTGTCCCACCCCCCCAAAAAAAAAAAAAGAAAGAAAAATTGCATCCACTTCCAAAATCAGCTGCTAATAAAGTCACAGTAAATTATTTTCATCAATAATTTACACAAATTACATGTCTAGACAGGATTGTCATTATACAGTCTGAGTGCATTCCAATTCAGATTTTTTGGGTTAGGTAGGCTAAAGTCTGGTTCAAACCTCAGTGCTGAGAATATATCCCATTTTGAGGAATGTTGTTGAACACCACCTTGTTGGCTGGAAAATGCGTTTTGGTGCTTTGCCAGTTCGAGTCCTTTGTTCATTCCTGTCAGGGCTCACTTGGTGTGTACCAGCAACCTCCACAGTTTTAATTCATTTAAAAATGTTGCATATATAAGACCATAGAGCTTTCTTACGTAGCACTAATGTTTTAACTCCATTCAGCAATCTGAATTCTTCAGTTTGGAATTTTTAATTCCAAATATTTCTTCCCTTCTTAAGACAATTCATATGTGTAAAGCCAGAGGCATTGAATCACACATAAAAATTCAGTGTACTTGAAATATGTATACATATATATATATATGTCTGTGTGTGAGTATATATATATATATATATATATATATATAAGGATCATCAGCTTTAGAACACAGTTACAAATACTCTAGTTCCAGTGCTTGATGGAGAGCCAAGAGGTCCGAATGACTGGATATCCTCCAGAAAGGCATGTTGTGCTGTGTTTGTTAGAGGAGGGAAAAGGTCAGGAAAGATGAACACTGTGACATAGGGCGACATATGACACACGAGGATAGTTAGAGATTACCAGCACCTATCTTACACCCCTGTGTTTCTGGATTGATTTTTGCTGTTCAAGTACTGACAAAAATCAGACTAAAAGAGATCTGAGCTTAGTAGCTCAACTGAAGTTAAAATAATTAGATGATAGCCTTTCTTAATAGTTACTTTGGAAAATGCCTGTTACATAGTAAGAGCTACTAGCTTATTGTTAGCACGCAAGCCTGTACAAAGGAGCATTAATAGGAAATAATTTAATGCTTCACCTATTTGACTACAAATACTGAATCATCATAGGACTATACAACTTCCATGAAAAGATGCTTCTCACTCAACACTCCAAACCAGAGCTGAATTACATTTTTTCTCCATCCAGGAAGAAAAAGAAATGTATTTGGATAAGAAAATAACACATTTCTAGTTTAAGAAAAGATAATTTGTGTTGCAGAAAGCATCAGTGTCTGTGAGAGATGCAGGTATACACACTACTCTCTTTCAATAGTTCATCAGAACAGAAAAAACACATATTACCATGTTGTGTTTAGATCTATTTGAAATGTGCTATATTCATCCATTTCTCTGAATTCTACATCTACCCATGCAATATAGCCAATGTTAAGGAAAAAGCATGCCCAACCAGAAAGCCCACAATCCAACCACCACTGTTTAGAAAAAATTATAAAGGACCCATCACCAGTACTGTACCTATATTAAGGAACCATTTGGAATGAGCATTTTGGTTATTTCCATTTTGTTTCCACTCCAACTACAATGCTAAGAGAGTGCTTTATTTTGCTACTCCTAGCGCAACAAGATTTACATAACTGATCCTGTACAGACATTGTGAGGCAAAAAATTCAATTTCTGCACACTTCCAGGGATTATACTGGGAAGTATGGCAAAAATTACTAATTTGATATGTTTCTGAACATTAAAAACTTTCCTACTGAAATTAGACTTGAATTACCATAATGAGGAAACGAGAAAACAGTTCTTTTTTAGAAACAAAGATTTGGTGCACAATCTCTACCTTATGTTCTTTTTCCTTTAGCAGATATGTCTTTCTTGAAGCAAATTATATTTCATATTTGCCCCAATAAACTGTGGATCTTCATCTACCTTAGCAGAAGAATTTACACAGTTCTTTAGATATTTTCCACATTCTCTGTAACACTTTTCTTGAAACATTTCCAATTTCAGCATTTTAAGAAAAGCACCACCCAACCATCATATCATAACCCTTTCTATCTCTTCTGTTTATCTTTTAATTTGCTTGAAGTTTGTCAGACATTTTTCTGCATTAGTTTTCCACCTGTTTTAAAAATATTGTTTTGTTTTGTTTTGTTTTTTCTTTCGAAGGTGAAGTGAAGCAAATGCTAGAATCCAAATGGTTCATTTTACTTTAAGTGTTGATCTTATCATGCTCTTGTTGGCTTTCATCTGTGGACTGAAATTATTTGTCATTTTGTGCAACACTGACAGAAATGCAAACAGAAAGGCTTGCATTAGTAGCTATGTATCACACCAACATTTCAGAAGACAGGTTACCTTTTTTGCTGCCTGTTCTTCTTCTACACCATCCCCAATTACAACATATACTACTTTTCTGCCAAACCTTTGCATTATTCGTTCAAAGCAACTTTCTTTTCCTGGAAGATAAATGAGATAAGAGTTCAGAGTGAAGTTACCTGATTAGCTGCATGTTCCTCATCTCGGCCATCTCCAATCACAACATAAGTTATGTTAGTGCCAAATCTGGACACTATACGCTCAAAACAGCTCTCTTTGCCTGAAAAACAATGCACTATTTATTCAAGCTATCAAGTGAGTTATGGTGAAGCCTTACAGAGGATTTTTGAAGTGGTAAGACATTGCTATTACTACTTTTAAAAAGTTCCCAGCCTTGGGATTTAGAGCCAAATCTGGTAAGAAGCAATGGATTCCCTGAGTGACACTAAGATGTTTCAGGTAAAACTAGATCTCTTAATCATTACTGGAAAGCCACTAAGACAAAGGAATTAGCAGCACTGCAAAAATGAATAGATTAGCAAATGAATAATTGAATTTAAATATTTCCTTACGATTGTAATAATATTCTTACAAAGAAAGTAGAAATTTTAATTCTAATGTATCTGCAACAATGAGTGATATAGTGATGAAAACAATTAATTAAATGATGACTGAGGTAATAGTTCTGCCTGACACTGCTAGAGTATGCACTGCTTTTTCCCTTGTGAAAAAAATTATGAAACATATTGCAATACTTTTGTCACTGAAGTGACATATTCCATGCTATAAAGGTTTTCATAGGTATGGAAATGAAGCATTCCTGAATTGCTGATTGGTAAAAGCAAAATTATCAGTCATTGTATGCTGCATCACATTTCTCAGGAATGACTGCTTCTCTTGGTTTACAGTTTTGGATGCAATTTCCAGAAACCATCCATTTCCAAACCATAATGCACAAAAGGCACAAAATTGTGAACAGAACAGGGAAGTGCCCTTTTGTTATCCAGCAACACAGGTTCTGTCAGTAACACCTGCCATTCCCATCACTGACATACCATGCCTAAGGAAAAGGTTTGTGAAGCTGTGGTCTGGCTTGCATAGAGCTGAAGATCAGAGCAGAGGCTAATTTAACTGGATTTCTGCTCAGATTTGAATTCACAAAAACCTTTTCTTCATTCTCTTCTGCCAGTTTTTGTTTCTGCACCATACTGAGGAGTTTCTGAGGGTTTTAATCAGAATCTCTATTCCTTTAGGCATCACTGAAAATAAGGTGAATTTGGAATTCTTTGACCTAAACACATCTGAACACATGTAATGCCTAAATCTTATAACTGAAACTGCTAAGTGTCAGGGAAGTGTTTTGGAATACATCCATTACTGAAAAGAAAAAATACCAAAAGGGTAATGCAGTGCAGTCAGAATGGATGGAAGAATAATTTTCTTACCTATTTTGGTTGCGCTGTATATATTTTCAATAGGAAAAGCTCCTCCTAAGCTGTATAGTAGAACTTTTGCAAGTGCTGGGATAAGCTGGGTTGTTGTTACCAACACGTTTACACAATTACTCCTAAAATGAGAGAAATAGTTTAAGTTTAAATAGTTTTAAAACAGTACCCAAATATTGATGAGGTGAACCAGCTGTGGAAAGCATATTAACCATCCCTCAGCATTTACTTCCATTCATACAGTACAGCTGCTTAGCACCATCACTTACAGAAAATATACATAAAACCCCTGGTGAAATCCTTTAAAAATATGTAGGCTTGATTTGTAGGAAATATTCTACTCTGGTTTATAAAAACTAGGTCTTTGAAGATGGATCTAGTAAAATACAGATATTTAAGACCATCAACAACCTCCAAAACAGGTTATTTGAATGTTTTGAAAGCATAATTTTCATGCTGGCAATTAATTGTCAGTAGCTACCAGCAAAATAAAAGAGTTAAGATAATACAAAAACATGATTTGTTACTCTTTTATCCTTTATCTACTCTTTTATCTACACTTTTCTCCACAATGGCATCACTTTCTTCAAGTTTCAAGAGTAAGAATATCTCTGAAGAGAAGGAGAGATAAGAATGATCATAATAAGCTAGCATTGAATGGTGAGGATGAAACCTTGAATGGGGAAGTTGTGCAGGCCAGAGAACTCAGAGCTGAGATACTTTAGGCACTCACAGGCTGGAACATGACCATGATGTGGACATGGAGCTGAAAGTAAATACCTGTGAGTTTTCCTTCTGGCATTTCCACAAATTCCAAGCAAGACCCTAGGCTGCTATTTTAATCTTTATCTCAAATGTATCTCAATTTCCTGTTAGTAACCTATCAGTAATGTTTATCTGACTCACAGGTAGCTTCTGAAGGTTTACAGCTGTACACTTTTCAGAAGACATGACAAAAGACTATTATTTAACAATCCTGAGTGAAAGATAACATTTTTCCACACTCATCCACCAATGCTCAACTGGCCTCAGTTACCAAAAGTCTCTCTGAAAACTAATAATTAAGAAAGAAATGCAGAGCTAAACACAACAGCTTACACAATTTTGCTACCTTTTTCCTCCTGAAGTGCTTCACGCATTGTTAAATAAACAATTAAGAGATAAGCATATTGCAAAATTTGCTATGTTGAAATAAAGGTTTTTATGTCTTTCCAAGTACGTTCTTTCCATTTGACACTGAATCTTTTCCCAGACATGTTCAGAAAGCAAGATGACTTAATGCTGCTCTTTTTTGTGGTTTAAAACTAGGATTTTTAGGATTTCTGGTACGATACATATTGCATGGCTTACTAAGTAGCAGCAGGATTCAGTTTTATTCTTTCAGAGGAACAATACATTTTATGTCTCAATATTGGGAATTCAGACTTTTAACTGAGTTTAAAAGATTTTTGCTCTTGTGAAAACTTAAGATTTATGCTAAGATATACGATTTGCTGGGAAGAAGGAAAATGCCCTTATGTTCTGGTATCTGTACAGTATTAAGGAAGAACTGCAAATAGGCACAAGCATTGAAGGACAGAACAGAGAGCTGTGAAGTTCAGAGAATGCTATCCATAAGGTAATAAATTAAAAGCTGTCTCAGAACTCTACAATACACTTTCAGTACACACCTTTGAGAAGACATTTCATAGTATATTTAGTAAATACTGGAATCGGGATAAACAAAACCACTTTCCACTTTTCCTGTGACCTATTTAAAAGTTGTATACCTGCTCTGTTCTTTAAAGACAGTAACTTATTGTAATCTAAAATGTAAAAAAATATCCATTACATATCTAGAAACTTTTTTTACAGCAGACTCAGATACATACCTTGTGCTGATAATTGATAATGATTTAAGTGCATTTGTTAGCCAGGAGTCTGTCAGAGCTTCAATCTCTGCTCTTAATTGCAACCATGCATCTCTTTTAGCAGGACCTAGGAGTCCTTTAATGTAAGAAAATGAGAAAAACAGAATTAAATTCTGTATCAGATAGGGGTTATGGTCATTGTTTCCATTTTAAATTCCACTACATCTTGAAAATAATATCAAAGAGAAAATCTATTGTCTTCAATGATCAGAAAATCTTAGGTTTTATTTGTATTTCATTATATCAAGGAATGTCAGATGGCATTTCAGACAATAATAATAATTAGTTGCATTTCTTTATGTATCAGGCTTCATTTCAAAGGTATATCTTTCAGAAACACATATTTTTTAAACCAGCTCCTCCCACATACCCAGCTCCTCCCACGTACATTGTTCTCATTATCAGAGGCAGCAACAAGAAGATCCATGTCATTGGGATCATAGGTGAAGATGGTCACAAAAGAAGATACTTTAGAAAAAACTGTTTAAAACTGCCCTTATGCCCTTATGACTCTGCAGATAGTACAGATACAGAAATACATTTGTTTGGTGATGGCTTGCTCTTCATGTCCTGTTGTAGTTGGTTCCTTTTACAGCATTTAGAGACTGAAATGGCTGCACATCTTATGTTCTCATATCTCAGTTGGTCCCTAAAAGTTAGTGCTTCAATATCTCTTTCTGGGTATAAATTGGCAGGCATTTAAAAATACCCAGTCTATTGAATGTTGAAACATGAATTTTCTGGTACCAAGGTATTTTAAATGTAGATTTTGTCATGGAAGAGCAGGGAAATAGGCTTCCTGACCTTTAGGATCCCTCTTCCCTTTCACACCCTGTAAGTGATGATGACTGTCTTCCCAACAAGTGATGACTGTTTTCAAAAATCAGAAGTGAAATAACCTAAAAATATATAAATTAATCTTGCCTTCTGATAATTTCTAGCAGCTCTTTTGAAATAAACTGATACAGATAAACTAAGAAGATTATTAAAAATGCTAAGATGTGGAGGACAAATGAAGAAACTTGCACATAAAGGATGGCTTATATTTCAGATGAAGGATATAGGGGAGACAATAAAAACCTTAATCCAGTGCACTCTATTTGCAATGTTTTGTTCCTCTCAGTGTGTTTCCCTGTCTTGTACTCTTGGATTTGTTCTCTTATTGGTGTTAAAGGTTTTATGAAATGCAGCAGTTTTAGAATCTTAGATGCATCAGTAGATACAAGAAAATCCAGTAAACTTCTGTTCTTTCTTTGTTTCAAGAATTATTTATATACAACAACTGTTGTGAATAGTCACAACACCAATGAAGGGCAAAGTAGGGCACCCTTTGGTCCTATTGCTTCATCCTATGGTAAGGAAAGACTGAACTACTAAGAGTGAAAATATGTGGCTGTAGCAATTATTGAAGACTTCTAAATATTCCTTGTCCTCACAGTCTATTGTTGAGGGGCTCAGTTGACACATTTCCCTCCTCAGAAGAAGCCTGTCTGTCTCTGCAAGGCACATAGGAGTCTCCAGAACAGGTTCTTTTGGCTCTGCTGCTTCATCACCTACAATCTGCTAGTGCAGACATAAGCAAGTCCGTGAATTAAAACAGTAACAGAAAAGTTCTTGTCCCAAATGAGATTTGGACTCGCTGGAGACAAAACTGTATAAGCTACAGAGTCAACAAAAGCGGCTATGGGCACAGCAGTGATAGAATATTCTTGCACCCACTGGTAAAAGAGACTGGAAGGTACCCAGCAGAAAGTTTAGGTGACAATGTTGTTACCCAACCAGATCCTGAAAATGTAGGATGGAAATGGCCATCTGCAAACAATTTGCTCTGTGAAACTGTACAATACCTTTCCTAGAACAACAGCAAATCTGAGGTAGACTAAGTGGTTCAGCAAAACAGTAAGGTAAGACTAGCTGGCTCTGAGGGAGGAAAATGGGCTCTGTGGAAGCTAAATGGAAGCTTGCATTGTTTTCCTGCACAACAGCATGTGGCTTTGCCTTTACAGTCAGTAGCTTTCAACAGCCATTGGTTCAGTAATATCACTCTCCATTCCCTCTGTGGCTTCCCAGGCTCCTTCCCTGTACGGCAGCTCATCACCCTGCAGCTCAGACTGATCAGCATTCAAAGTTGTTTTTGGCAATTGAACTCACCTCCTATGTTGTTCTTGTAAGTATTATACAACTCTTTTACTCTTCTGTAACGGAAAGCCAGCTTCCTCATCCAGTCAACCCCTCCTCTTACACCTGTTGGCAGACAAAGGTTTGCACTACTTGCAGCTGCATGGAAGCCATCAGTTGCAAAACTGTAGGTACTGCAAACACCCAAAATACAGTAAAAATAAATACAATGTATTCCTGTAAATGCTCAAATTATTTCATCTTAAAAAAAAAAAAAGAAAAAAAAATTCTGTATCTTACCTTAGGTCTTGTCCATTATCATCTGAAGAAACATCATCTATATGAACTTGATCACATTCCTGTTAGAAAGAAAAGAAAGCAAACCCAAATGACAAATTTATCTTAGCAGAGAGTGCAATCACCATTCCAAGTCCAAAAGGTGTGTGGATGCAGCACTTGGGGTCGCGGTTTAGTGGCGAGCACGGTGGGCTGGGCTAATGTCTGGACTAGGGGATATTAGAGGTATTTTCCATCCCGCATGACTCTGCTCACCACAGGCTTGGTGCAGATGAAGGAACGACCGGTGCAGGCCAGGAGGTGGCAGCCTGTGCCCACCCACAGCCTCCTACTGCCATCAACATCTTTAAAATACTACAGCCTTCTACTTCTACACGCACTTCTAAATCACTAGTTAAAACAGACCTTTAGAAAAGCAATATGCAGTTTTGGTGTGAATTTTGGGAGTAAAATTATCTTAATTTTAAAGCCACAAAAGTTGCACGTGCCATTTACAGTCTCCCTAGTATACCAATACTTGAAAAATCATATAAACCTTATTTTCTCACTCCCTAAAAGCAATTGATGGTGAACCTCGACAGGTGTAAAACTTATGTTAAGTAGTTTGGACACTTGTCAGGTTCTTCTATTAATTTATGTGAGTGCCTTTGGCTGGAAAACCACATATAATCAGCAATCCTAAAGAACTTGATTATTTCCTGGCTTTGGAAAGGATGGAAAGAACTTGAAGGAACTGAGGTACATTGGAAATATGAATTCCCCTCCAAGATGGTTTTAATATTGGACAGCTATCAAATATCCTTATCTGCACAGTGGTTACAGAATAAAGATAAGAAATTGTAGTGAAAACAAAAGTAGATATATGAGCCAAGCCATCATGCATTATATAATTGTTTTCTAGAGTTGCTTGAACTAAATCTTAACCCACAGACACACCTGAAATTCAGTGTCCATTTAAGTCAGCACTTAATTCAGGCTCTCTGTGACATGCAGGGATATGTCCTTCTAAGTTTCCAGTCTTTGTCTCATAACAGTGGTAAACTGTACAGATAAAGGATAAATCTGAACAGAGGAGTGATTCCAAATGTGTAAGCCACAAGTTCCTAGAGTGTGAATTTAGGGAATTATAATTTCATCTTTCTACTTTGTTTGCTTTGCAATGAACAAAAACTTAGGAGACTTTTACTTGCATGAACTAAGTTGCTAAAAAAAGGCAATTTTGTATAAAAATACATATAAGTTAATTTTCAAATAATTAATTTCTTTGCATTATACAATCATAATTTTAAATATTGGGTCAAAGCTAAAAGAAATAGTTGCCAATCCCTGCTCATGGGGCTTAATTCATTAAGATAGGATAATAGAACTTGTTCAAGGAACACAGATTTGTAAGATTTGTAGATTTGTAAGATTTGTAGATTTGTAAGATTTGTAAGATTTGTAGATTTGTAAGCATTTTTCCCTTCACTGGAGAAATAAATTTTTTTAGTTCTGTTTGAGGAGATTATCTTGAGCAGTAGAGTACTTTAAAGAAGCTGCTTTTGGATGTAAATAGCAGATGAAGAGAGAAAGTAAAGGGATAATTTCTTTATCTTTATTTATAATTTACTGTCCAGAAAAAAAATTGCAATTATGCTTCAACCAGTGTAGGATAGGAACTCAAAAATCAGACAAAAAAATCCTACTGAGAAAAATTCTGACTCTGTATTTTGCAACATCTGGGCAATATCTTTCTTCCTTATCACCTTCACAGATTTCCCTGGAACTTGTAAAAGTGTTTAGTTCAAAAGTTTAAAAATCCTGTGGATATGAAGGTGTACTAATTAAATAGAGGGCACACAAAAGCCTTGATGGATTAGGAGTGTCTGCTGCTGTTTGGGTTTTGTTAAGCTTTTCAGCTACATTGTTCCAGCCTTGAAAATTCTAGGTAACTGTTCTGCGGATAATGTCATTATTAAGTTATATATGAGTGGGCGGCACAGGCTCAGCTGTTTAACTTTTTTTGTCTCACAGTTGGTTCATTGTGATTCTGTGATTGACTCCAGAAACAGGATGAGGGGACCATGCGGTTTTCTGATTACTCCCCTCCTTGTCCCTGCAAGAAGGTTGTTAGTATAGGAGTTAACATGTATATTATATAGAAGATCAAACCCAACAGCACTCTCCAACTTCCTCTTTTTCTCCCTTCCTCTTCTCCTCTTGATCTATGGGTTATCTCGTCTTTACGTGCTGGCAATACACATTTTCTGACCAAGAAACAAGCTCATGTGCCCATCACTCATTGTTTTCTTTTACTTTGTTTTCTTGTTTACTAATCTGCTTCAACTAAAACATTTACCTTTTACAAATTCACTTACATGGTGTGGAATAATCTTGCAATAAAAAAAGAAAAAGTGGGCAGTTTGAGCAGACTTGAGATAGTTCTCCACTTTTCTCAAAAGAAACAGGAAACTGGTGGCACCATGTCTGAGTTTGTTTTTAAATGACACCAAAGAGTTATGGGAGAGACAGAAAGAAGCAAGCTCTCTGTCAATTTAAATAATAAGGTAAAATATTTTTTACATCAGCTATGGTACTGGTTAAGCTCAAGTCACAGTGGCTGTCGGTGCAATGTCAAAACTAAGAAACATAAAAATACACATCCTATTAGAGCAGATACAGGAAAGGAATCTAAGCATAATATCTAGCTTTTGCTTGAAGCAATAATAATCTAAATTATATCTGAATGCAGTCAATTCTTTGCAGCAATTTTTAGAGCCTGAAAGTTTGAGAGTAAAGAATAAATACATCATCCATAAAATTTATAATCCTGGACTGGACAGTAACTTCATTATCCAGTAAAAACACTGACTTACCATGCTGAACACAAAACTGTACTATGCTTTCTTAGGCTATACTGAAAATCTCTTTTAATATATATGTCCAATCTCTGTTAAAACTAGTTTTACCTGCCTCCCAAATTCTGAGACAAACCAAAATCATACTTTTAATTTTTCATTTCTTCTTCTAATGAGAAAAAAGGGCAAAATGTCCTTTAAAATATGATAGGATAATGATAAAAATTGAAATATAATTCAGTTTGTTTGAAATGAATAGTCTTTTTTTTCATTGACCTGAAAGTGGAGTGGAATAACAGAGTAGGAAGATTCATGTCTGAATTACTACTTGCAATTTGCAGAAATTGGGGGGTTTTTGTGCATAGTAAGCCTTACCAACGTTTCTAAATGCTGTCTTAGAATTAATACTGAGAATATAGAAAAACTTGATTTTACTCCTTACCTGATTGAAAAGAGAACGCCTTAGTTTGGCCATTATTAAAAATCTGTGTCCCATCCCTAAACATTGTTTAGGCACATGAACTTTCTGGAACACCAGACGCCTATTTTCATGGCAAAGCACCAACTGCCCTCCCAAGTGATACTTCCCAAGCTAACTAAAATTTATACCCTGAGAATGCAGTAGCTGGAGAACAGCCTAGCCTGAAATAAAAGTGCAGCTTGGCTGATTAGAACATGGGTTACTGGGTCAGCAGGGAATGCCTCAGCAGATCGGAATTTCTGCATCAACAGTTCTGCAGTGACACAGATTTGCATAGAGGAAGAAAATCTTTATTTTGTATGTGAGAACTTTAATAACTTGGTTATTATTCCTAGAACCTGCTATGCAGTGTTTGCAACCAAGAAAGACAGGAAAAAAAGTGCAGTGACTGGAGTAAATATTACAAGTGTACAGGTTCAGTAGTACTTTAGAGTTGTCATGTCCAGAGCCCCAGTGTTTATTGTGGGCTGAAGATGAAAGCAAGAAAGGTGTGGAACCTGAGGGCTCCCCACTGAAAAAGTGACATGATGAACAGATAAGCAATCTATCTGCCTGATGAATAAAGGACTATCTCACTTCATTCAGTGAGAACTGAAAGTCTCATGTCTTAATGGCCATCATCAGCAGCAGCTCAGCACTCATTTTTGCTCCCCTGGAGGAGGACAGAGAGAAGAAGACAGAGAGAGATGGGGAGAGGAGGGGAGATGAGGGAGAGAACCCAAGTCAGACTCTGGGAGTTCTAAGAATTCATTATACATTCATCATGCAGATGCACCATAATATTCAGTAATAAATCTGTTCTCTGCAAACAGATTTAAACAGAAAAGTTCATTCATCAGCATATTAAAGGTGCCTTTGCATACTTGGGCACTTTATGCTATTTGCTAAGAAGATAGAAAATTGCTGGTCTTCTCATGCATACCGAAATGTATGTACACAAGTCATTTCAGCACAGGAACCTTGGAATTTTGGTAATTTTGTAAGACAGTTGGTTTTGAGATCAAAATGAATTCTGGGCCATAAAGTACCAAATTTCTTGTTGAAATAGTGATTATTACATATATATAAAAATTGCTTTTAATAAAATCAAACTGATTGATTTACGAGACTCTCTAAGACAGCTCCCAAGTAATATTTTTTATTTATCTAAAACAGGGAACTTTTCAAGCTCTGGAATGAGTTGGCATATGAGTTTTTGGACAGGGGTATTAAAACCATCCTATGAAGATTAGCTAAAATGTAATGATCCACCTATGACAGCTGAACTTGTGAATATAATTTATTTACAGAAAAAATAAATAATTAGATAAAAGATTGAAGTTTCAATGGCCATAAGCACGAATAAAGAGGCATGGCAAAGCTCCATTTTGCTGAACCCTTCCACTTGAACTGAGCACAACATTGAAGAGCAGATTCTACAGAACGGCTTAAATTTTGGTCCTGCCACATAAAGTCTGAACATACAGGTGTAAAGGTCTGCTAAAAATAAATTTAAGAAATGCTTTGAAAAATTTATTTGGAATCTCTCCCTGGTAGAAGGCACCAGGAGACATTCACTGAATGCACTTGCATTGTCAAGAATTGTCTCACTAGGACTGCAATGAAGCACACATTGAGAAAGGCATGTCCAGGGCTTTACTTTCTTTGGTTTCTGCTGCTGCAAAGAGGAAGTGCAGTTCAGGTGTGGGGTGAAGTAGATTGTTTCTTGACTTAAAAAGAGCTAAGAATAAATGAGATCTGCAAGGGATGACAACCACAAACTGGTACCTTCTGCTCTTCTTACTACCTACTTAATGAAGGAACAAAAGACAAAATCAATATCCCAGTGGATGGAAAAATTGAACTTCTCTTTATTTTGAATATTCACTCACCAGAGACCTTTCTCTGGAATTCTAAACAAAACCTTGAAGTCTTCCAGCTTCCATTCATGGAAAGTATCTGTCCATGGAGGGAAGTCTGGGATCTACTCTAAGCAAGAAAACAACCACTTTAAACCAGCAGAAGGTCTGAAAAGCCCCTGGGTTAATTTGAAAAACATTTTTCACTCTGTGTCTTGAGTGAAACATAGCTGTAGGCTGGCTTTCACTATCTGTGTTAACAGACCCAGACTCTAAGAGTGAAATAAAAAACCTGTGAAGCCCAGCTGACAAACCTGCTTCCCAGACCACTCTCCCTGTGAGAGTCTATCCATGTGCTTCTGACAGGTGAGCTGCCCACAGTGGCACTTCCTAGAAAGAGGTCTTTCCCTTTTCTGACCAATTGCCAGATTATATTCCCTGGGTATATTGGGACAATACATGTATTGCCTGGTTACCTTGGGAAGAGGAATCACCAATCAGAACATCTATCACAGTCCCAGCTCTCTGATGCTGCATTCTTTGAGGTAAAAGAAGAACATTCTACATTTGAACAAGTAACAGGGGCATGTAGCCAAAAGGCTGCTGAGGTATGTCAAGAGAACAGTCAGCTCTGGTCAGATGAATACACCCACTGAAAGCAAATAAAGAACTTCAAGAGAAGAATGTGAGGCGTGCATGTTACTATCCTGGAGATGACAGCAGACAGCTTTACAGACATGGAAACCAAAAGAAAGGACAAAGAAAGGAATGGGTAGTTTGCAGATTCTTTCTCTCACTGAGCTTCACAGAAGGACTCTGGTGCCACAGGAAGTCAGTGCCACCTGGTTAGCCTCTCTCTGATTAGAGTATGACAATCCCAAAAACTACACAGGCAGAAATGTCACACACAATAAACACTAATGCACAGCAAAGCCACTAAGTTAAAAATCAGGACTGCTGGTACTAGCATTCCTTTGATTCTTACCTCTAAATCATTAAAAAATAAATGTGTGTCAGCAAGATTAAAAATCATTTCTTCCATTCGCAGTCCAAGGGTCACTGCCATGGGTGGATCCTTAAAAAACAAAAACAAGGTTAGCTAATTACATACTGCTAAGTTATAGTAGAATTACTTTAAAAATTGATGTATATAAAGTGTCTTGAAAAATTAACACTGTAAGAAACTTCCCTGAAATCCTTTCATTATTAAGCTATTTTAATATAATAATACACTGATTATAAAATACTAAGACACTGATTAACCTCTGCGAGAAAATTCAGAGAGTTGTGGATGCTGAAAAATCACATTTCTTAAAGCCGAGCAGTTTGCAACCTGGCTGAAGCAACAAGAAAAAACCTGGTGGCCATAAACATATACATAAATATAAATATAAATAAGTATAAAGAAGACTGGAAATAGGGACAGCACTTTTCAGAAAAGATGTATGTAGGAACATACATTCCTCTGTAAAGTATATATAAGTTTGTTGTTTGATCTGTAGATCATCCCTTCATTGCTGATGAAAAACAGGAATCCTGTCCCTGGATAAGATTCATTCAAAATGTTGCATTTGTTGGTAGGTCATCTTTCACACTCTCAAATTGCTCTGCTTCAGCAAGATACCATGAACCTCCCAATCTGCAATAACACTGTCTGAGAGCATTGAGCTTACAGCTAAGGCAAGGTAATGAATTCAAATTTCCTCGGTTTGCTAGCAGAGAGGTAAAGCAGATTTGTGTTACCTTACATTTGGTTTAGAGTAATGGTCCCTGGTGCTTTGTTGACACCTAGTAATTAGTTTGATTGTTGCCTTAATCATATGCCTAAACTTATGGGGTTTCATTAACATTTTATGCTTAACATAACTGCAGTGGACTTTTAAAACACATACAGTCCTTTTCTCATCAAAATATGAAAAAAATATTTCATCATTTAAACTGTGACTGACACAAGCAAATTTTCAGAAATCCCTTCTTAAATATCTTGAGATTTAAAGTTAAAATGCTACCAGCATGTAGCAACAAAATCTCACAAAATCTCAAATGATCATTTGTTAGCATTAGGACGAAAGGCTTCCCAGCCAGGATCAGATACTCACTACTCCAGGGCTTTGCAATGATGGAATAAAAGATGGCTTCTGCATTCAAGCACTTAATAACTAATGGTTTTAAAATCTGAAACACTGACATACTTTGACTCTTGCTCATGAAAAAGTCATACTTGCAGGGAAGAATAATGTTCAAGAAGTTGTCACGATCCAAATTTAGACCAAATTCGCTGGCAGTGAAAGGAAACATTTTTATGTCAACCCTTGAACTGATCTAGACTCCCTTTCAGAAGCAAAAAAACAAATGCAGGAACAGAATTTTATCCATTTTGTCTTCTGTAGTAAAGTTAACTGGATTTGAAGGTCACATGGCTGAAGGCAGCACCAAGTGCAAAGGTCAGATTTCCAAGAGGATGATTAAGGAACTCCATTAACAGATTAGCAAAATTCATGTTAGGCACTGACAACACAAATCACCAAAATACCCTGGACTCACAAGATTCCTCATCAAGCCATAATGCTTTTATCATAATGTCATCACATATAAACACGTGTTTGTCTCTTTCATTTGCATTTCTTTCCTGTGCATTGTAAACTATAACTATTTTCTCCCTAGATGCAATATAACAGAGAGTATTTGCAATACACATTTTTACCTCAATCCCATGAACACTAAGGCATGTGCATCATTTTATGCACAGGTGGTAACTCATTATTATTTATATAAGTTATTCACTGGAGTGCTTCCAAAACTGGAATCTCAGACATTTAATTCTCAGCCTCTTTTTTACCCCTTCCTGGACAGAAGCAGACTTGAATGCAGAAATTTCCTATAACATTTTCCGTTATAATTCAATTTGTTTTTACAGAAACTACCAACTATGTACGACAATTTCCTGCCTTGCCTAGTATAGCTGGAAGATATAAATGTGACAAAGATCTTATGATTTTCTTATTAATAGTAGTTTTATAACCAGTTGTGTCCCACTATTACTATTAAAATTATATTTCCTAAGTTTCTGTTTTGACAAAGGCATGAGAAGGCTATTGCTAGGTACAGTATGTAAAATCAAATAAAGCAAAGCAGAAGGAATTCATTTCAGCTTAGCATAAAATCACTGTGGGATGTCTCTGTACAACTTCTGCTAGGGAGAATTGCTGGAATTGAATTCTCAAGATATGAACAATTCTCCTCTTAATAAATTGGCCAAAATTTTGCACTGCAACTGTTTAACAAGAATTAAAAATTATGTTCAATTCGCTCTTGCCATGTTAATTTCTTTCCTTCACATAAAAAAAATAGACAAGAAATCAGGTTTTTAAAGGTCTTGTGGCTGTATAGTGTTTGCACAATATGGAGGAAAATGACAATCATAATTTTTCTGTCTTTCAGCCTGAAGCAGAAGTTACAGACTGATTCAAGTGGCACAAAGGACTGAGTGTTGAGAAGAAATCAAGAAACTTTCAATTGATACAGATCATAGCACAGCAAATTAAAAAACTTAGTAAGAGGCAGACTGAACTTCTGCCAAAATTGTATGTTGTGCTACTCTGCACAAGCACACACAACAGAGGAAAAAAGGATTAAAAAAATAATCTGGAAGTTTTCCCCAGATAATTCACAGAACAAAGAACAACTCTTTGGCCCACAGAGGTATGATGTTAGCCAGATATCATTAGTGTGCAGAAGAACCAAGACCAGCTACAACACTTCTGTACACCTAAATACAAATTACTTCTGTTATGTTAGGATGAAGGCACTAAACTGGAGCCAGACTGTCTGTCTGGGACTTCTGTACCAGACTGGTCCATCCATTGCACTGCCTTGTGGGAGACTAGATAAAAATATCCTGGGAGGACCAATACTTAAATGTTTTGATCAAGAGGAGAGTAACTGGAATAAAGCCCCAAAAGCTCAGTGTCCACTAGTAGAAGAGATGTATTTAATACTATCTTGGAATGTCAGGTTTCAGCACATGTTCAAAATAATTTCATTTCTTGGGAAAAAAAACTGCAAACACCAAAGTGACTTTAATAAAACAAAGAGATAAATAGACTGTCAGGTAGATTCATTGTGACAGGAATTTGCATGCATGAAGCCTTAAAAATAAGCAAGAAAGCAAGCAAAATTTAAAGAAGTTATTTTCAATGGGTGGCTGTTTTGTTTTTTTCCTGAACAGACTTAAAACAAAACTGACCTTGGAAAAAGGTGGAAATGCTAATGTTAAGTACCAATATTTTAGCCGAAAGAGACTTCTCTATATTATGTAGGAATCTCAGATTTAAGTTCAGTCCTCACTCTCTGAAGGGACACTTGTCCCAGGAGAAATTAATGTGGATGTTGATGGAGGAAGAGAACACATCTCTTCTTGGTAACCATAGCTGGTGGCTGATGAAGGAAAACTCACGTACTCCATAGGGAGTTTCTGTTCCACGCTCTTTAGAAGGCAGTAGGAAAATCAACTCAGAGGTCTCAGACAAGGAGGGAGTGAATGGAGAGGACAACTGGAGGTGATGAGAGATACACTATTAAAACAGGTGGACAAGAGTGAATTTTATGAGTGAATTTGAGAGTGCCATCATGGGTGTTAATGGTGACAAAGCTTTTCTTTTAATGACCAAGCAGACAGCGAGCAGCAAAAGCTTCTGGGCCCTTTCCAAAGAAATGCACAAGGTATTTAATGAGGCTTCCCTTACAACTTTCTGTCATTTCCAGTGTTATAAAAAAATGGCAAAATATGATCAAAAAGTGTGGATTTGTTTTGATTTTTGCACTTGGAAATCACAGTCTCCGTCTTCTAAGCTCACAAAGGAATTTTATTCTTCTTCTAAAGAGTTGCACTTTGAGTCACAGCATTTATCTGGGAATCCTTGCCCTCTGGATTGACCTGGGAGAAATGAATAAAATATAAACGCTTGGAGCTAGAAAAACTCCAGCTTAATCATCCTTCAACCAGCAAGAATAACTGGAATGCAATGGAACAAAGAATACACACTGTTCACAGGGAATAAGAATGTACCTCATAAACTTTCAAGAGATGATGACATCTCCTAACAGATGTCATCTGTTGTGTCCTGTCACATCAACAAATGCTCTCTTAAGAGCTCAGCATTGTAGAAAACCTTATCTGTCAACTGGTGCTCAGCTGCAAAAACCATCATCATCCACACAAGTCATAATATAACAGTTCCAGTGCCAATGTTCACAATTTGCTACTGCAGTAAGTAATTAAAAATAGAAGTGTACTGATTTCATGAAGTACAAAGCAGATGAGCAAATGAGGAGAAAAGTGAGAGGTGATCTTACTGCTGGAAGGCAGCACAGCTTTCGTGAAACCTAACACAGGTGTAGTATAATTTTTATTCTCTTTCTGTGTTAGCCCAGTATAATAATACCAAAACACCAAAGGCCAGAGAGAAACAGCCACAGGTAGACAACAGCAAGGCATGGAATATTCTCCTGGGAAAGCTTTATATTTTAAATGCAGAAGTGATACACTGGCCAAATTCTGGCCAAATGTCTCCCAGTTCAGTTGGGTTTAAAGCTATAATCTAGACAAGCAGCAGCAATTTGCCCCATTTTTAATGAGATGCTTACAGCTGCATACTTCAGCAAATCATTAATTCTGTTTAAGCATGGTTATTATAAAATTTTGACATCAAATAATTATCCTAAAAATTCTGACATGAAATAATTACCATTCCATGCAAAGTGCTGAACAAATATATACCAAGGAAAGTGTCCATTCTCAGCTTCATAAATCCTTAGGCATAAGTCAGAAATCTGCTGTTCTCTTGACAAATACACAACCTGAAACTTGCCTACTGGATCCAGGCCTTCCAAATAATCTCTGCCAATGAAAGCCCTCCTTGCCTAAGGAGATGCTGGTTTGACTTTTCTTTTTCTCTTATGCTCCAACCACTTCTTAAACTGTAGAAATCTTTTGAAAGTGTTTATTTCCAGATAGAACTGTTGCTCTTGAGTGCTTCTGCACTCACATGTGGATCCCTATGCCAGGCCATAATATGCTGCACCTCCTCCCACTGCATCCCTGTGCAACTGAACTGCAGCAGAACAGAGAGATCAAAAGACTAATTCCTGATTTTTTTACACCTGGTACTCAAAAAAACAGGAAAAAGCTGGTGAATACAAGGAATGAAAGTTTTTATGTCAATGAGTACATGAGAAAGAACTGAAGGTGAATAGCCTTGCCTGTTTGTATATTCCCACTAGCTCTAAAATCAGCATCTCACTTCTGAGTATGAAGTGAGAACACTTGGTATAACAAGTTGCCTTTTGTGAGTACCTTGACAATGTTATACAAAATAAACTCCTGAAATATATGTGGAAGAACATGGAATTCACAGCTGAGTATCTGTGTGACATTAGATGCTTTTACTTTTTAAAATCAGACAGCAAATTATCACAGTTAAAAAATTTACTATCTCCACTATTTTGCACTACCCTGTTTCTTTTTTCATTGTTAGGCAACAATTTTATACCACCTTTCCAAGACAAACAGTTCTCTCAAAAAGTTTGAAAGACCTATGCAATAACAGGACCTGCCGATAATCTACAATTCTTGGAGCATTTACTCTCAAAACAATACAATTCTCATAACAATCCAACCTTCAGTCTGGATTAAGACCTTGTATACAGATGGAAATCATATGCAGAAAAGATAAGGACCATATGTGCTAAACATGTCATGTACCAAAGCTTAGTGAAGTCTAGCTGTGGGATCTTTCACATCTCCCATTTCTAACCTCTTAGGCACTTAGGCTGAGACACATCCCACCTTAAATTTGGGCAGCACTACAATGACATGCAAAAGCTAAAGCCTATAAGCTCTTCCTGTATTCCCTTTCCTACTGCTCCAGCTTCCTTGCAGTCAATACTATTTATATTTGACTTTCACTGGTAATAACTCATCACGCGAGCTCTATGTAAATATGGCACTGGCAGGCACGGCAAGAAGGAAAAATTCTACTTCTTTTATTTTATAAGGCCTGGAAATGAATACCTTTCCCTACTTGTGTGGATGCCACCTATCAGTACCAGGAAAAAAAAGAAAAAGGGAGAGAGAAAAAAGAAAAAGAGGATTTTACTTAAGAATTCTGTAATTCCACACCTTTTATTTCATTGTCATCCATGACATTTGACATTTGTTTACTGATTTTGATCTCAGCAGTATAACTACTTTAATTTCACTAGCCCTTGAGACACTTCTGGTTTAGATAAGACTTTATCTGCTGTCAGTAATACTATCTGTTAATATCCCATTACTAATTTACCAAGAGAAATTACATTTCTGTTGCTGTTTCCAAGACAGTTTTCAAAGTTATAGACAGATGTTTTGTGAGCTATAAAATATGCTCTGATTTTTAAAACTGTGTTACAATTGATTTAGGAAACATCCAAAGGGCACAATCAAAAAAGACTGAAAGGAATGACTTTATCACTGTGACAATTCAGCAAGTCCTGTGGTATTCTATCGGCTACTCTCAAAGTGATTCAAAAGTTCATGTTCAGCTAGGTTACTCTCTTGTTTTGATAACTATTAGTTGGAAATGGTTCTGACAAAATCACTATTGTTACAATGTCTGAAAAACAGCAGAAGAGGATTTTTTGGACAGAGTACTGAAAAATGCACAGATCTGGCACTGGGAAATGCAAAGAGGGAAGGCTGCTTTTTACAAGAGATGAGTACCTATCCTTATCTTAGCATCCCAGAAATTCAGATTTTGCACTTGACCTGTGACTTTTCCTGTTAGCTTTCTTTTTTATTCACCACAAAAGGTTGATTGCATGGAAGACTGTTCCCTCTCTGGTTACACAGGTTCTGGCTTTGGACATTTCTAACCCATTGGTAGGAGAGGGGTACATTGCTGTAGTGTACTGTTTCTCACATCCTTTTCTCAAGCATCTGAATCTGGCTGGAGTAAAGATGCTGAAAACATGCTAAACAAGCCCCTTATTCAAGACAACATGGACGTGGTTTTGTTCTTAAAAGGAAATACCTTTGCATTAATTTCACTTGAACAGGACAGCAGAGAGAAGATAATACATGTACATACTGACATCCCCTTTTTGTCCATTTTACCCCTTCCACATATTTGTTTTGATTTTTTGCTTTATCCAGGCCCTTAGCTCTACCTCTCCCACTAGTCTGCTCCTGTTGCTACACACCAGACCCTTCTCACCTTGTCCAAGCAGCCATTCCCTGGACTGCCAGCACCAGCTCCGGAGCTCCTGCAGTCTGCCAGTGCCTCTCTTTGCCTCCCTCACTCTTCCTGCTTTCACTGCTCTGTGACCTGAACTCCTTTTGGACTCACTGGAGGGGAGAGGATGCTTAAAACCACTTGGGGGAGGGTTTCACTCCCCAGCATTACTCACCCCAGAACCAGCTAAGGGAACCAAAAAGTCTATGAAAAAGGTGGGGAGTCAAAGAACAACATTTGCAGCTGGCACTGAAATATGTCAGACTCTTACTCATCCTATTCATAAATTTCCTGGTAAATTCACCCACCAGCTCAATTTCTTCTTTCTTCCTCTACTGTTCCAGATACTGTCAGTTTTTTTCCATTTGTGCACTTCATCTATTATCTCCCTGCAATGTCTCTTCCAATGCATGTCAGGAACCTCATCCTTGTTCCTCTGTAAATTCTCCTCTTATTTGCAGCATCTGCTTCAGCCCTGCCTCATGTATTGTATTTAGGATCTGCGTCTCATTTCTCTCCTTGACTTCTTCACATTAACCCTCTGAAAATGGGGTTTACTGTACACTTTAACTTCACCCATAAGGGCCATAAATAACACAGAGGTGAAAAACATGTACACAGTCAGGCCAGATAGCTGCAGTGAATGGACACAAAATTCACAACTCACATACCTTGCCATACTTCTGTGCATATGATCCTGTAAGCAGTGAATGAAAAACTATGATTGTTTCATCCAAATCCCAAACAAATACACGCTGAAAACAGAAGAGAGGGAAATATTATTGAACAAATAACACCACAGCCCCACCACCAAAGCACCCAAGGAGACTAAAAATCAACTGACTCAAAGTTTAACCAAGTACTTATTAACTGAGCAGATTTTCTCTGAGAATCAGCAATAACAGTGTATCATGCATGGTAAAAAGTCAAAAGACAGTAACATTTTAACTCTTCAACTATTTCTTATTTCTTCTTTCACAAAAACTCCGTAATAGAGATTTCAGAAATGTGATTTGGGGTCAAACATAATTCTTAAGGATAAACAGTATTTTAAGATACTTCTCTGCAAGTCTTACTGATTCTTTTTATTTCTACTGTATAACTAAAATCTTGGGTAAAAGTGCTATATGCCATTGCCATATAGAATTTAAATAATATTGTAGGATAA